ATAATAATTAAACATTCTGTTAGAACTCAATGATTATCCTAATTATATTTTAGATTTTTTATATTTAAAATAAGATGTTTATCCTGTATTTGATTGTGTTTATCTGCAGTTAGTTACACGAATTCAGATATGAGATGAAATCGGATAGAGATGAACGAGTTTAAGAGTTTAAGAGTTTTAAGAGTTTAAGAGTTTTTAAGAGTTTTAGCCAAATGTTTTATAATATAGTATAGATATTGAATTAAAGAAATTACTCAAAAGAAAACAAACACTTTAATTTGACATTAAACTCTATACATTATTTTTCAAAATTTTACAATACTTTCAAATTTATATTTATTCAAAAAAAATAAAAACATTATCGTTTTTCAGTATCTCATAAAATCGTATTATAATATCGAAGAAAATAGAATAAAATGAAATATTAAAATCGAGATGTATCTTACTGTATTTCACAAGTATTCTTGTAGTCATACAAGATTTTTTGTGTTCGATTTATTTTTTTAAATATCATATTAAATACAAAAAAGTACGAAATGATTAATTTTTAAACTTTAAAATAATCCTCAAATCTAATTTTAGAAGGGGAAAATATCTTCAAAATCCATATTTTCTAAAAAAAGAAAATGGTTGAAATGTTGAAGAAATTCAAAAGAAAATGAAAATAAAACTGATCTCAAATGATTACGTGTCACAAGGTGATTGGATAAGATGACATGGAATGACACAAACACACAATAAATGGAAATTAACTGAAATTTATATACTGTAATTATAAAGCGTCGACATCTAAAGCATACGCGCTCTCTCTTCTGTGCAGACCCATCGAAGTAGAATCAGAGACGAGCCGGAGAAGGGGAATTGCTTTGGAACCACCGCCGGCGGTAGTCGATTCTCGATTTCTTTTGCCGTTCAAGGTGATGAATTTTTCTTAAGTCTGTGATTTTGATTTGAGAAAGCAAGTCAACGATCCGCTGTCTTTTTACCCTAGGTTTTCATGATTACGTGGATTTTTGACATTTTTGTGTGGTTCTTTATTTTTCAGGTACGAGACAGGAACAGATCGTGAGGCTTTTGGATCGATCGATCTTGTCTGTCAGTCTAATTACGGAGCTTGATTTATTGTGTTCCGTTTAGTTGCGGTTAGTTTCTTTCCGGTCTCAGTGTTATAAGTTTGTGATTAGGGTTTATTAGTTTTACTTGATTCGTACAATTGACAGGATTGATTTGGGGATCTTTTTTAGTTGTTGTAAAGGATCGAGTTTTTTTGGTTCTGCAAGGATCTGAAGGTACTTGTTTGCGTCACAACTGGAAGTATATTTTCTTACTGGCCAATGATATAGTGAACTGAAGGGATGAAAATTTCGATTATTTCTTGTTCTTGGGTCTTTAGTATACATACTTGGATTCGTTAACGTAACAAAAAAAATATTCCGATATATACCCTTACTCACATGGCTTCCTTTTTGTTATTTGAAGTTGACATGATATACCATCCGTAATCTTTGTAAGCGAGAATATTCTCACTGGTTCATGGTCATGTTACTCACGAGTTGATATATCTTCTCTAAAGACTGATTTAGGGAGTTATTGATCATGCAAAGCGGTCAATCTGATAGACTGTATCAGGTGCTAGCATGGTCACAACATGGGGTTTCCTTTTATAACAATCTCTTATCGGCCCAACTATATGCATATTTATGCTCAAGAAATAGAGAGCAACCAGGGCTGAAGCAGTCTATCCGGATTCACTACAAAAGTACAAAGCTTAATGGTTTTTTTGGAAATGTGGAACAGATCTCAGCATAAAAAATCTCATTAATATTGAGGCTTTCTCAGACTAGTCTTTTCTTTTTTCCTTTTCATGTTTGAAGTATGTCTACATGTTGGTTCTTGTGGGAGGACCAACTTTTCTATGAAAATGACTGACATGGTTATAGTATGTTGCTTTTTTTTAAACGTAGTGAGATTCAGTTGATGCTTGCCTTAAGGCTGTTGCCTGTTAGGATGGACATCTAAGGTTTTCAAAATTTGTTGTGCATGTTTCCTTACCACAATTGAGCACCCTAGGTTGTAGACACTCTATAGTTTCATATGTGTATTGAGCACTTATAGGTTACATTGTCATATTAAACAAACATGGTCATGATTCTAACCTCCACCAGATTATTCCCACAGATAAAGGGTAGGACTGCTGGAGAGAGATTATTTTATCTGTAATGTGTGGTTTGTATGAGATATTAAGCAAATTGTGATCTTATGCAAGTACCAACTAGAATTGCCATCGGGCACAGGCTCTGCATGTATTCAATCTTGCCATGAATTAGACTTTTTTTCCTTGTTTTATTTTTAGTAGACAAGGGTAGCAAAGGGGGAGGTATGGGGAGCTAGCAGATGGGTATCAGGGGCCTGCTTTAGGTAGAAAGCTGGCCCTGTGTGTGTTTCCTTACTTCGTTTGTGTTTCTTTGTGCCTTTTCCCCTTCTCTTCTTTTTATGTTACTTACTTTGTGCTACTTTTGGCTATTCTTATTCTTGTGTTACTCTCGGCTATTCTTCTTGGCCTTGTCTTCTCCTTTTCACTTGCACTTTTGCACAAGCGGGGGTCTTCTGAAACAACCGCTCTACTCTCTGGGGATGGAGGTCAAGTCTGCGTATAACTCATCCCTCTCAAACCTTGCATTTTGAGGGGGATATACTGAGTTTGCTTGGTTTGATATTTTTAATGGACAACTTACAGCGGGTGTTAAGTTGTAGTTATTTTTCAGTCTTTCATCTACAACCCTGTGAAGTTTTGTTTTGTACTTATGTTAATTGTAGGCCATAGGTTCAGCTTCCAACTAGTGAGCAAAGATTCACTTGTTATCTGGATTTATTCTGAATCACTGATTTGTAATTGTGACAATGAAGAATGGTGAGCGTGCCGCAAACATTGCTCTAGCAGGTTTGACATTTTTCTCCAATTTAAACACATCTAATTTACTAATTTTGTGAATTTCAATGCATAAACTTATTGTTCCATTTATATTTATCTAGTTCTAGTGAACCATTTCATTATGAGAGTGTATATCTACTTTGCATTGTGGTGTCGCAGGTCTAACACTGGCGCCATTATTTGTGAAGGTGGATACAAATATAAATGTCGTATTGACTGCATGCCTCACTGTTTTTGTGGGTTGCTACCGCTCTGTCAAGCCAACACCTCCTTCGGTGAGTATACGAGCTATATGTTATGAACCTTTCTTTGAGCTCTAGACTTCATATTATTTGTTCTAAATTTCAATTGCCTGATTTTTTTTCAGGAGACAATGTCTAATGAACATGCCATGCGTTTTCCTTTGGTTGGCAGTGCAATGTTGTTGTCTTTGTTCTTGCTCTTTAAGTTCCTATCAAAAGACCTGGTTAATGCAGTGCTGACATGCTACTTCTTTATACTTGGGATCATCGCTCTTTCGTATGTTCTTTTTGTATGGATCATTCTTCCATCTTTTGTATTCTAGCAGATAATTGCTTGCTAATCTTATTTAGTACTCATTTTTATTAAATTTTGATGTTTTAACACAGGGCTACACTTTTACCAGCAATTGGGCGGTTTCTACCAAAAAAGTGGAATGAAGACGTCATAATATGGCGATTTCCATACTTCCGCTGTATGTACCGTTCTCTTTTTTTCCCATGATAAAAAATAAAATCTTCTATACACTTTGGTGATTTACTTTGTTTTTTTTCATTTGTCCATGCCGCTTGATTCCTTTTAGAAGATGTTGAGAGTTGAGACTATGAGATACCATGCGACAGGCTTTTAACTACGACTCTATGAGGGGTTCCCTTATCTAACCAACATGGATGTGCATCACATTACTTGTCTTGTGCGCTTATGAATATAGGAAGTTCCGACATAACATTTTCCTTCTTAGTGCCCTCTATAACTTTGTAGGCAAGGAAGTGTTTCAAATTTGATATCCGAGAGGTGCATTTTAATATCTGTGATACCAATGTTAGCATTCTTCAGGAAGTTCCAACATAACATTTTCTCAGTGCGCTCATTAACTTTTGTAGGAAAGATAGGATCTCAAATTAGATCTCTGGCAGGTGTCTCAAAATCATACTCCTTGTGCTTCTCCCTTAGCCTGATTCCAGCTCTCTCCATCTATGAGGGTATCAAACTCGGTGACTGTTATAATAAACAGAAATTTGATTTTTTTTGTCTGGTTCGACATTTACTGACATCTCTTGTCTTGTTATTGGCTCATGAACTTGGACTAGAAATGTTGGTGCATTTGAGTTCTGTTTGTGTATCCCTAGGTTATTTATTTTTTCTTTCTGCAGTTGTTTGATTACATTATCATGCTGTTATCTGCAGAATGATATCTTTCTTAAACAGCTTTGGAGGTTGAGTTGTTGTTTGATTACATTATCATGCTGTGATCTGCAGAATGATATGTTTCTTTAAACATTTCTTAAACAGCTTTGGAGGTTGAGTTCACAAGGTCTCAAGTTGTTGCTGCTATTCCTGGTACCTTTTTTTGTGCATGGTATGCTGCACAGAAGCATTGGCTGGCTAACAATATATTGGGTCTTGCATTCTGCATTCAGGTTTGACCACATCTCTGTTTCTCTTAAAAGGTCCCTTCTGTCCAAATATAAGAAAAATATTGCTAAACACAACAATGAAGTGCAACCCTTGGTGGGATTTCTGAATTTAGGCACTGCCATAGGACACATGATCTAGCAAAATCACTGTTAAAATGATGACTTTCAGCTTTCTTCAGATGATTGGTTCAATGGACTCGACCAATCTTTTTGTTGAGCTACTCTACACCGTCTTTGGTGGATTGAGAAGGAATTTTCTTTTTGTATGCTTTTTCTGGTTTGAAGATTAAAACAAATGACACAAAGTTTTATGCTCAGATTTAGTCTCCTTTTGAAATTATAAATTTAAATTGGTCAACTTTCATTCTTAAGTTGGCTGGGTTATGTGTACATTGACATTTCACCTGTAACATGTGAATCAGTTGAGATGAATGAAGCTACAAAGTACCTATATGCCTGATTACCTGTTGTTTCATGCAGCTTAGCTTGTCTTAACCTTTGCAATGTCAATACCGAGTAATAATGTAGCATTTGTGGTATGCACGACTCTGTGGAGTCTCGCATAAAGATGCCCAAATGTTTGATTATGTGAACTTTACATGTGGATGGATCTGTCTTATTTATTTATTTCATATCCATATGGTCTTTTCCCTTTGATTTATAACAGAGAAGTTGCTTCCTTTTTAATGTGGGTGTCATGAGTTTAAGGGTGTCTAATAGAGTGGAAGTTTACTTCAAGATATCAGCTTAATCCCTGTTGGAAGAAAGCAACATTTTTTTTGTTAATCGCTTGTTGTTGCATCTTGGGAGAATCAATATTCTTCACATCTTAAGTTGATACCCTTTCTAATTTTTGCAGGGAATCGAAATGCTCTCTCTTGGCTCTTTCAAGACTGGTGCCATTCTGTTGGTAAGGGATTCTTTAAGTTGTTGTCTGCATTTGTTGCTGTCCTATTCCAGTTGAGTTTAGATTAATTGCGTGAACTGTGAAGAATCCCTTTCGTAGCATGAGCTCTATAGATATTAGGACTGCATGTACGAGTTTAATTGCACCATTATCTTTTATGCTACCAGTATTTCAAGATGAGGGAATAACTTAATGGCCCAGGGTCTAATGAGGAGCAATATGTATTACCACTCACGAGGGGCATGTATGTACATTTTTGTCATCTTATGTAATTTAGTTAAATCTGGAGATTATCAGTGGATCAGCTTGACTAGGAATGAGTTGCAGTCTAGCAGCTGCCATCATACCACACCATCTGATGCTACATGCTGTTATCTAGTCTTGATCTTAGTCACTCCTTGAATTTGGAACACTGCCCTTGCCAGATCTACCATCTCTAACGGCACACTGCTTAAGATGATGGGGCTTGCTTTGTTGATTTACTTATGCTTTTGCCATGGGTACTGAACTTCTGATCATGCCATTGTTAAAATTGCAGGCTGGACTTTTTGTATATGATATATTCTGGGTCTTTTTCACACCAGTGATGGTCAGCGTTGCTAAATCCTTTGATGCACCTATCAAGGTAGTATGCCAAAGTGCAGCATATCTGTTTTCATTGGAATTGGTGTTTACAATTTAACATGATGGATTTTACCCTTCTGTCAGCTTCTTTTCCCATCAAGAATTGACACACGCCCCTTCTCCATGCTTGGTCTAGGAGACATTGTAATTCCAGGTATGATCTTTGGTGATTTACCATGGTAAATCATTGTTAAAGCTTCTGTCAAGTTGTTAATCATTGTTGGCACTAACTGCACTCATTACCTAGCCCAAATGGTGGTTGTTCTGGCATAGTGCCTATAGCATATGAAATGTAAGCAGGACTGGTGGGGTTTAAATCTGACATCAAGAGAAGTTACAATGAGGCAATATTTGGTAGTTAGTAATTACCTGTGTCATTATTTATGCCAACTGGCTCCTTCGAAGACCTTGGGTAGTCTATAATTTTGGACACCTGTTTGCATGAGGTGTTTTTCACGATTCAAGTCTACAATTGAATACCAAGTTAACAGGTTACTGCTTCTGTCTATATCTTTGAAGTCGGCTGATGCTGGCATGAATTAACCTATGATATGCACAGCCTATATTCCATTATGTTTTTTTTTGACAGGAACTGTTAGGAAACTACTACATATATATAATATGGGTTTTGGACCAAAAGGTTGGTTTAAGCTAGCCGAGTATATTGGGCCTGTCTTAAAAGGAACTTGGTTCAGCTATAGGCTTTTGGCCATACTTCTTTAGTTGTGCACTTTCTGCTCTGTTTCATTGGGATCCGAGTAGCTTTGTTAGAGAAGTGATAGAAGTAAAATGCAAATGGTTTATGCACTTCGATATTGATGTAGTTAATATGGTCCCAAAACTAGGGTTACAGAGACATAGAGTAGTCAAGAATAAAACATTGTACATTAAGTGCAACTTTAGTGGTGTTGGTATAGAGGATGAAGAGGTGGTATGCCAACAGGTGCCTTAAGGGTGCGTTTGGTATCGGAGCAGGACATTGCTGTTCAGCTTTTGGTAAAACAGGACAGAACAAATAAAATGACCAATTTACTTCTAATGAGTTGTTTATATACTTTGATTAATTTATCTAATTTATTAAATTATAATAAAATAAATATTTTTTTTATAACAAAATATATCATTAAGAAGTTTTCGTCAAGACGATTAAATGACACCAAAATAAAAAGTTTATGTAGTGTCCAATTTTTTATACCTTTTCTATATTATTTTTTATTACTAATATTTTATAAATTACATAAATTAATCAAAATATGGAAACCTTATGAAAATAATGTGTTTAATTTTGTTCCACTATATTCCTGTCTGATCCACATAAAATTGCTAAACGTGGAACTGTGATCCTTGTTCTGTTTTATTCCGTTCTGTCCAGTGTACCAAGCGCACCCTAAAAGAGTGTCTTTTGGTATTTAGAATCGAAGTTAGCTTTCTTAATATTCTAATTGATCAATTATACTTTGCTCTTGATGTTTTCTTATCATTTGCCGGTTTATTTCCAGGCATTTTTGTAGCTTTGGCTCTTCGATTTGATGTGTCAAGAGGGAAAGAGAGTCACTACTTCAAAAGTGCTTTTCTGGGATACACAGCCGGCTTGGTCGTTACAATTGTTGTCATGAACTGGTTTCAAGCGGCACAGGTTGGTAATCTGGGGTCATGTTGCAATAACCCATCATACGCCTTAACAAAAGTGAAACTAAATATGAAGCAAATGGATCAGATCAGTCCTCCCTTCCCATGAAAATTACTCCCACAGTTTTCGAAATGTGTTTTTTATTAATTAAATGATGATTTTACCCCTGATAATAGAGACTGATGAATTTCTCCATCTCGTTATTAAGGGTAGAATTGGATAGTAACACTTATTTTGGGACAATGGTAGTACAACATTTCTGTTCTTGGAAAGTTTTCATGATACATTTGCCTATTGTGATCACAACAACAAAGTTGTTTTGTTTGTGACTATTGATACACATGTTGGAAAATGTCTGATGTTGGTTTTATTTCTTTTCAGCCGGCTCTATTATACATCGTGCCAGGGGTAATAGGGTTCTTGGCTGCTCATTGTCTATGGAACGGAGAGGTCAAACCGGTATGCCATCACACCTACATACTAGAATCCTATATTTCATTTTACGGGTCTTATATATATATAGACGAAGGATCGTGTTAGAATAGGAGTTAAAGGTGAGAAGCATAACCTTTGATCACTTCTAATCTCCACCACCCCATGAATTGCGTTTCTCACGGGAATTGATCTGATGCATCTCATTAGGGTTGATCCAAGGGTGGAAATCTCTTCTTTACCCTTCTCGTCATAACTTTCATTCTCACTAGAACCCAACCCTCTTTATATATTATATATATATAGATGATGAGATTGTATTGGGTTTGTGGCAGTTACTGGAGTTTGACGAGTCAAAAACAACAGCAGCAGCAGCAGCAGCAGCAGCAGCAGCAGGAGGAGAGGAAACAAACAGCAGCAAGAAATTGGAGTGAAAAGGAGGAGAACATAATAGTTGTTTACATTAGGGTGAAGTTTTGATCATCTTTTCTTCTGATTTTTAACTTATGCAAAGACATTTTACTAGATTTTGCTATCATCATTTTAGACTTTTCATGCTTTTACTTCACAGGAATGACTTTTTATTTAAATATAAATTTATTTAACTCACCCTTTTTTACTTACCAATATATGATATATGACCAAAGTGCCTTTGGCCCTGCGGTATATGAGTCTTTGGCCTTTTAGAAGGTTAGGGGTTCAAATCTCACCAAAGGTGAGGAGGGTGTGTGAGTTTATTTGTTATTTAACGTATATAAATATTTAATATATAGAAAAGTTGGAAACAAAATCTGATGATTTGAGAATTTATATTTTTTAAAAACCATCTAAACTACTGGTTGTTTAACGTAATGAAATCATTCTCTCATTAGACGTCTGTAACGTATATGGAAGGAAAGAAACCAATAGATATGGAAGAATGTCGTTACACGAGCCAATCTTGGGATTCAGCGCTGATGAAAACGGGTTCATGCAAGTTAAAAAGCATGGGTTGCTAAATAGGAATACGATGAAACGTGTGTGTAACAAATGGCACCCCCTCCGGCATCATTCTTGAAATGCAATCGTGATCTTCAAAGACTCTGGCCAAACGGGAGCAGACACGGTGCTACGAGATGAGGACGAAACCGTGTTGGTGTATAAGATGGGAGGTTGTCCATAGCCATAAGTGAAAGAATGCAAAGAATGATAGCTTGGAATTTAAAACCATCAGGAATCAATGCCAACACATCCCCCTAATTGTTTGGTTTAGGAAACTTATTTTTGATGACTTTTGCTTACAAAATTATAATATATCACATTTTCGTTCACAAATATACAAATATTTGAATCAATTCAAGGAATATATGGTTTCCACTATCAAATGCCTTTTTGGAGGGTAATATGTGAATTATATATATTCTTACGTGGTATCAGAGTCAATATAATAACTTGACATTATGAGACGATCTATATTCGTCTAGCCCTATCTCGGTACTCTAGGACAACATATGCTTGTTTATCCTTTGTTGAGTGTCACATCTATTAGACTTGAACTATTTCATCTTTATATATTGTTGGAAACCCTTTTGCTCCCCAAGTGCTTTTTTTTAGAATGATCTGATGGAATTCGACATATTCTCGCTGAAAACGATGCCGTATTAGGATTGTATTTGTCAACTTAAAACAAACCAGAGTTTGTACTCAAATTCACTAATAGTTTTGAAACCGAACCATTCTAAACAAAATCAAATGACTAAAATTGGTTTGGTTTTTAGCCAAGTAAGGCCTAAGGGAACCGTTTACCCAACCTTACCGGATTACATGATATAGACTGAGAATCTTACAGGACAATGGTAAGGACCGAGAGTCTTACATGGGTAAGTGAGGGTTACGACTCTTACTCGGTTATCACTTATCGAATAAATTATTGCATACGAGACCATTTTGATGGACTAAAATCTTACGGTAAAATATGTGAGAATATTGAGTTTAAGCGGAAAGCATTTGGGTAAAACGGACCTAAATTTTATTTTTTTAATTTGGTGTGGGCCGGCCCGACCCGGCTCCAGATGCACATCGTCATCCAGTACGCTTAGCAGCAAATAATTGGGCCTACAGGCGCGGCAAGCGAAATCCACTACAAGGCTCTTTAACCGTTCAATTTCAAATCCCAGGAACAACTCGACCGTTAGAAGCCATGGATTTGCAGATTCCAATTTCCTCAGCCATGGAAGAGATCGTTGAACACAGTGCAGCTACTACGATGGATCCAGAGACCGAGTTCTTAGCTTCTAAGCAACAAACCGGCAACGAATGGGAACTCTTCAAAGAGAATGTCAGGCCATTGAAGAGAGGCCGCAACGTTAAACTCCTCAACCATTCCCTTAAATCACATTCCGATATTCACGTCAAGGATTCTCTCCTAGATACCAGAAGGTCTCACTCTTTTCTAACCCTAGTATTTCTTTCTCCATTATAGATGGATTAGGGTTTAGAACTGAAAAAGGTCGTTGAATTGTTTTGAAGAAACTCAAACTTGATTTTAGTAATCTGTAACTGTTTCTTGATTGTTTCGTGTTTTGAACTTTCACTAGGAATCTGATTAGAGCAATTGATGAGTATGAAGGTGAGGATCCTCTACATCCATGGCTAGAGTAAGTTCATGTACCCTAATCTTCCTTAATTTACTCCACAATTGGTGTAAATTGTTTCCTTCATCTGCATTATTATACCAAGGGGATGCATCAATTATAATTTTTGTGATTTTATGTATTGAATCTGAATAAAAAGCTGGGAAGAGAAGGAATTAAGAAAGCTTGCAAACTTCTTCCAAAAAGAACCAGTTGGTCACTTAACTTGACTTTATTAACTTCCCAATCTTCCTTGGAATTATGGAGAGGACAGAAAGTCAGTTTTTTTTGAATTCGGTTACTTGGAGTTGTAATTGGAGCCCTTTTTACCTACACTTTTGTTGGGTATCTCGGAGTGTGCCCAAATTACTCAATTAACATTCTATCCTTTCTATTACCTTGTGTAGTTGCATTAAATGGGTTCAGGATGCTTTCCCTCCTGGTGGAGACGGCTCAGGACTGGTGGTGATCTATGAACAATGTGTGAGAAGCTTTTGGCATGAAGAACGGTATAAGGATGATCTTCGTTATCTTAAAGTGTGGTTGGAGTATGTGAGTCCTTATAAACACTTGGTTTCGGCATCTTATCATTTTAAGGATCCTTTTGTGCTTGCCAACTACTAAGACTGTTTCTTTGATTTTCCAGTGTTCAGCTCAGAATCCTGCTAATTTGTGTATACAAATCTTAATTTGCATTGCAGGCTGAAAGCTGTGCTGATGCTGAAGTTGTATATAAATTTCTTGACACTAACAAAATTGGCCAGACCCATTCTATCTTCTACATATCATATGCTTTGCACCTGGAATCCAACAATAAAATCGTAACTGCAAATGACATATATGATTGTGGGATATCTAGGTATGCTTTTGTGCCTTCTGATTTATGTAGTATTACACTATGGATATTCTAGAAATTAACTGAGAATTTCTGTATGGTGTTTATGTTTAGTTTTTATTCTACATATTTAGGGGGGACTAGAAAAGCACGTAGGTGTACCGCAATGCATCTTACAACATTATACAAGACATATAACTTGAACATTTTTATGTATGATATTTTCATCTCTGAGAAAAAGATTTTTTTGGGGGGGGGGTATATGACTGTTCTGATTCGTGAAGTTTACACTCCTACACTTGTCTTATAGATATGCTTGAACTTTCACCTATTTTTCCATTTAATAGGAATGCTCAACCTATTGAGAAGTTGAAATCAGCTTACAAGAAATTTTTTGCTCGTTCAATGAATAGACCAAAAGCCACCGCAGTAAGCCAAGAAATTCATCTTCTTTTGTTTTCTTGTTATATCAACTGTTGCGTGAATTGCTTGCATTGATGCCAGTTTTCACAATCCTTAGGAGGAATCATTAGAGACCCACCAACCTGCACGGAGCTTTGGAACTGTCTTGGCTAGGGGAGGAAGTGGCAAGTTCTCTTTTCTTTATTGTGCTTTCTGGAAAATATCTGTCTAAATCTGTTTCTTTTGCTCATCTGTTTCCTCACTTCAGGAAACCAGATTTTGGAAGGTTCTGAAATTTCTAAGAAAAGATCACAGCAAGAAGGGTGGGCACATGAATTCATATCCTAATCAAATTTGACGTAAAGTTTGTGGTAATCTAACCTAAATTCGTCTTGTAGGGCTATTGGGGCTCCACTAAAGGTCTTTAAAGATACGAGCACTGGTAGTAGGAGCTCCATGCACCAATCGGAATCATTGAAGCCCGACTTGAAACCCTGGCACACTCTAGGAGCACGAGCCGAGAGAAATAAAGAAAATAAAGCCATACCTGCCAAGTGGACATCAAATAAGGTCCCTTTGACCATTTCCATCTTAAGAATGATTACTTCAAGTTGTGTCCATCTGTTATATATCTGAGTGTTTTCTTCTAAAATCTCAGATTCCCCAGAGACCTGGTCATAGAATTGGAGCTGCAACTACTCCTTGTATTGAGGTTTTTGTAGATGAAGAATCCTCAGAGTGAGTTTAAACTATGACCTTTTATTTTTACACACACTTTTACACAATGGGTTGAGGAAGGAAAGCAAAAAGTAACATGGAAAATGCTTGTCTTTGAGCATCTTTTTCCTTCCAATTGCTTTATGACACTTGAATCTTAATAAGTCTGTCTGTGTTACATCCATTTGATCCATTAGACACTATTTAAAGTATTTATTATGGGATATTGCTCTGATTTGTCCTCCCTGCTGTTACTATTTGATGTCCTTGTTATCTGCTTGCTTGCAGACTCTCTTTTTATAGTAAATTTATTTCCTATGTGATGCTCTATAGTGCCTCCAGAAAATCATTGCTTTTCTGAAAAAAGGAAAACCTTTTTCAAAAGTCGCGTCTTCAGGAAAGGTCTGTATACATCATACCCTCCGTTGGCCCTACTTTCAGTGAGTATACCGGGTTCATCTGGTTTGGTTTGGTTGTGTTGGGAAATTTTTCTTGGTGAATACATCCTTGATTATTAGTTCTAATTAGATTCAGAAGGTTGCCCAACATTCAACTCAAAATTTGTGGTATCGCATCCTTGTTTGCCCTCATATCAAGCAGGGGATCACCAAGAATCGATGATCCTTGTGTAATTCTGTTGGGTGTCTGTCTTCTAATCTATGTTCTTACATTCTTTTCAGACCTCATAACATGGGCAGCGAGGGTGGACGATCTTCTGCTCTGCAGCTCAAGGACAAGGTCGGTCAAGAGCTCAAAAAGTAAGTACTAACAAATGTAGCTTGCGATCCTACCATAAATATTTTGAGAACATGGAAACACATATTCATAATGAATAACATTCATGAATATTTTAGGGTAATTCATGAAGAGAAAATTAATGGAATACTTGATTCCATGTTCTCAAAACATTTAGCTTTCTCATTTGAACTTCCCTAGGAGCACCATTACATAAAAAAGAAGTTCTTGTGTATCTATTGCAATTTACATGGGTAGATTGATCATTAAGAGACACTCGGGAATTCATCTTTCGAAACAGGGAAACGGAGCTACTGAGGGAAAACCCGTTACGCCATTTTCCTCCGAGCAGTCTCAGATGATAATTTGTATGCTGTGATGTAGGAAATCTACTTTCAGGTTCAGCTTTTGCCTATAAAGCTTGAATATTAGTAGCATTAGGATGGCATTGCTTGCTTATTTCCAAATGGATGATGTTTCTTTCTTTGTATTGTCGTTATTTTGGTATGATTTAAATTTAGCCATTTAAAGCTTTGTTTTAGTTCAATAACCCACATAATAAGTTATTATAACTGACAACCCCCAACCTCGCGGCCCCAAGAGCGATCATGTGAGAAGCAAATAAGTTGCACAATGATCCACTGGTATAACTTTAAAAGTCCGATACCGTAAGGAGCCTGATACCCAAAGGAATTATGACTCCCACATTACAGCCAGACAGATTTAAACTCTTGCTAGTTTGTACAAGTATATTACTTCGGAACTAAATGTGCTATGCTTTGAGGGCACTGGGAACAAGTTAGCTTTTCTTCATATGATCGCGATTCTTTGTACTTTAAGGTCCCCCGTTTGGTTTGCACGAATGAAATGAATTTGGGGGATTTGGATTTCAAATCCATTTAAATCCGTGTTTGGGATTTTGAAATCCTTAGGAGGTGCTTGTGATTTCATGGGATTTTGTAAGATTGTATGCAATAATTTTTTTTATAAAAATGTTAAAAACATTTGTTTTATAATAATCAAATTAATAAAAATGTAATTTGATTATTTTTATAATTATAAATAATTTTTTTATATAAATTATTTATAAATAATGGAATCCAACTCCATTCCAAATCCTACAAAACAAACATATAAATGATTCCAAATTCATTCCAATCCAAATCCCTCCATGAAATCCAAATCACTCAACAACAATCTTACAAACCAAATGCACCCTAAGACTAAGGACATAACCTTGAAGGACCATGATTGGTTATTTACGATGCCATGTTCACTTGTCTTTCGATCTCATCAATTATGACCGGTTAATGGTGTGGTTTTTTTTTATATCGATACAACTATTTAATGTAAGATTGTAAAATAATTAAATCCAAGGAGGAATAAAACTCCCCTTGTGGTCAGGGAGGTTCAAATACGGTGATTCCGGGCTATCTGCAAAGCAGGTGACACCCTGAGATTAGTTGACTTGCATAGCGGGTTAGGATATTCAGATTAATAAAAAAAAATTAAATTGACCAAATTATGTTGGTACATGATTGAATAAACCCTACTTGACATTTCATGATATTCTAGAAAAGCCCCAAGAATATGATGTCGTTATCCATGGTGGAAAATTCTTCATGAGTGGTTGCACACAAAAGAAAGAAAGTGAGAATAAAGTTGGAATTTTTTAAGGACTTGAAACAAAATCAATTAATGCAGAGGATTAATAAATTTAGTGCAAGTTGTACACTTTTCATCCCTACAGTTTTAAAATTATAAAATGATTATCGTAGTTTACAAAAACGTCTATGTGTACAGCCTCCCTTAAAAAACTCTGCTAATTTAAGAGCATTTTCGTCATTTTATTGATTTTTATAATTTTGGTTTCTGTAGTTTTTGATTGGGTAGAAGACAAGAAAATCGACAAAAGTACCAAAAAGCTACTCGTTTAATGGAATTTTTAACTATTCAAATCCGAACATCTATACTATATTGTAAAGCATTTGACAAAACTATTAAAAACCACTTTTTATGCGTAAAGTACTGTTTATTAATGCATGTTACTTAAAACTCAAGATTGCAAGTAGATTGTGCGTAAGTACAACTTATTAAAGCTCCATATCCGAATTCGTATAACTAACTGCAAATAAACATAATCAAATAAATGATAAACATCTCATTTTAAATATTAAAAATTTAAAATATAATTAGGATAATCATTGAGTTTTAACATAATACTTAATTATTATCTTTATAAAATGTTATATTATTAAACCAAAAATAAATTATTTCATTATTAAACTTAAATTAAATTATAATAAAAAAATAAATTAAAGAAATTACATAAAAAATGAGAACTTTTAAATAGTTGATTTGATATTAACATAAATATTTTTTTTTTCAAATTTGTATGATATCTTTAAATTTATATTTTATTCAAAAATAAAATCATTATTGCTTTATTAAAAACACATAAAATCGTATTATAACATCGACAAATACAAAGAATAAAATAGAACATTAAAATCAAGATGTGTCTCGTTGCATTGCGCGGATACTCTTCTAGTTTTTAAAAACCAAGATGACTATCTTGTAATTTATTAACTGCAAGAACAAAGTATTGTTTTCGACAAACCACATGAACCAAATTTGTAGTTTACTCTAAGTTTTTCTCCTTTATTGGTGAAAATTTTGTTAAATAACCCACTTGTAAAAATAATAAACGACTCATGCCAGCCATGTAACGTTAATTTTTTATCAATGAATATCGAATAGGTAATTATGTCGTATAAAGTTGAAACCGTAACGATCGATCTCAAACTTATTATGTTTTGAATGTTTATTGTTTATGATCAAAATAATAATTATGCTTTTGACAAAAGAACATGTATTGTGTTAATGTGAAAAACTATTTATTGATATAAATGTAAAATTATCCGGTTATCTTTAACTTTAGGGTAAATTACATGAAAAAGTAACATACTTTAACTTGATTTTTATTTTAGGTAACGTACTTTCAAAACTTCCATTTTGCTACCTAAGATGTAAAATTTTAAACATTTAAGTACCTGGTAAACGGTTGAAGCATTAATCGGTTACCATGTTGATATGACGAGTGATGTGGTATACAACGAAGTATTATTTCCTGAAATGAATATCTTAATCTAACCGGTTAATGTTTCAACATATTTAACTGATTAATGCTTCAACCGGTTACCCGAGTATTTAAATGTTAAAAATTTTATATCTTATGTATCAAAAATGAAAGTTTTGAAAGTACGTTACTCGAAATATAAATCAAGTTAAAGTACATTACTTAAAATTACAATAATTATGTTAGACAAATACTGAAGCCCAATCCTTTTAACGCATCAATATTTTTGTTCAATTGTTATTTCCAATTTGGGGTCTAAATGTATTTCAAGGTGACTACATAAAATAGAGGAGTTTGCGATTCGGTTTGGACGATTTAACCTTCCAAATCATAAATCAAACTGTAATGATAGTTTAAAAAGTTTTTCAAACCGAGTGGTTTGACGGCAAGTGCCAAATCGGTCAAATTAGACCACAAAAGACGGTATAGTCTGACCCGTTTAGATGGTTTGAGCATTTTATGAGTTTTAAACTAGAAAAATATGACATCTATATCCAAAATGAAATTTCTATCAATATAATCTTATTAAAAAATTATATCGAATAATAGAAAAACATTTATCTCCAAAAAATTAAGAAAATATTGAGCATGTTGAAGAAAAAAAAAGTTAAGCAAGTTCATCGACAATAGTTGGAATTCTGGAAAAACATTGAGCAAGTCGAAGAACGGTATGAAATTTTGAAACTTTTGATTGTGTACGGGTTTCGGAATTTACCTGTTTAAGGAACACGGATAATTGAGAATTTAAAACTAAAAAGTTAGTGTCTTGGACGGTTTTTTTCCTTTTAAATTGGGCAATAAATATTGTAAGCATAAGGGTGGTGTCTGATTGGTTTGAGTTTGAGCTTAAAATGTTAAAAGTGTCTGGAGGTCCCAGGTTCAAATCCAATGATGAATAAAAATTCTTTTATAGCTACGGAAGTTCAAATGCAATGACACTGGGCTACTCGCAAAGTAGATGGTCGCCCTAGGATTAGTTGGCTCGTATAGTGGGTTGAATATCCAGGTTAATCAAAACAAAATGTTGAGCCTACAACATGAAAACTAAAAATGATTTGACGGTTAATTCGGTCCAAACTGTTAAAAACATTCAACCACAAGTTGGACCGGACAGAACGGTTTTTGACTAATTTTAAGACCGGACTAGATTACCAAACGGCTTAAACCATCAAAAATGATTCGATTTGAAAGATCCGATTTTTTTTTTTTTTTTTTGTAAAGAATACGTCATAAAATATAATTTAAAAAACTACTTTTTAAAACTTTATATAAAATTATTGATAATTTACAATATTTTTAAAGAACATTGAATTTTGGCTAGAGAATGGTATTTGACTAGAAAAAAAATGAATTCAAATAACAGGAAATAATTTTTAAAAACTGAATACAATATAGATGGAGGTTTAAACGAGAAAACATTTATTAAGAAAAAAACGAAAACATCCTTATCACATGTGATAATACACGTGAGAGACCTGGTGGTGTAGAGGTGACTGACCTAGGTCGTGCTACATCTACGATTCAGTATTACATGTGGTGGATTACAGTATTAATGTGATTTGGCTGTATTGAAAGGACGTTCTCGTATTTTCGTAAAATGAAAATGTTCTCGTTTGGACTATTTCCATAAAAGACATATTACATAATAGATGCAGGATTTTGTGAGAATACAAAATCGTGGTGCGAACGGTGAGAATAGTTCTGATTTTTGGATGAACTGATTTTTTAATTTAAGTTTAAGTTTTTCAAGTACTTTCAGTACCTTCAATTACATTTGACTACTTCAATTAGATTCAACTATATTCATTCATCTTTATTTTTAAATTTATCTTCACTTATAAAAACATCTCCAACAACTATGCTAAAATAAGAGAAATGATTGATTTAACATTTTTTTTTGCTCCAACAACTATGTTATCTTATATGCTAAAATAAAGAAAAGTATCGAGAGAGATCATAAAAGTCTCTAAATTTAGAAAATTTCATAAATAGAGACATAAACTATTATTTTAATACTTTCCACTATAGATGGCCAAATGGGGCCGGGCCTGGCAGAGGACCGGCATCGGGACCGACTTAGGACCGGCCTGGCCCGGTACCGATTGGACCGGTTTGCGACCGTTGGTTAAAGACCGATTATGGTTTTCATCCAAAAACAAGACCCCGTCCGGCCCGGGACCGGCCCGATTTTTTTAAAAACAATGTATTTTTATATGTATTTCTAGCTTTCTAAATGTATTTGATTGAAAATCAAATTACAAATTTACAATAACACATATTTTTATGTGTATTTGATTGGCCTAACTAGATATTTTAAAGTGTATTAGAATAACATTAAAATATTTTAAAAAAAATATCAAAAAGAATTTTTTTTAAAGATATTTAAAAAATGTTCTTTTAATACATGACCGGTTTGGGTCCGGCCCGAAACCGGTTACAAGTACTCTTAACCGGACCTTAGTATTTTCGACTAGAACGAAACCAAGACTAACCGGTCTCATTCCGGATCATTACTATTTGGGACCGAGATTGGTTTCTGGCCGCCTCTACTTTCCACCAATAAAAAATTATTTGTAATAAATATTTAAGAAAGAAAAATAATATTTTATTAAATGTATTAAATATTTTAACAATATATAAATATCAATATATTTTAAACATAATATAAATATCAATATATTTTTTATTTTATGTTTATGTTTAACATTTATTAGTAATGATGGTGATAGAAACGGTATAAAAATGTTGAAAAGTAGAAGGAATTTTATATAACAAAATTAAATAAAGGTTTAGTAGTGTTTATTGTGATTTAACAAAAGAAATCCGGTACATGGTTTAATTGGTGGGTGCATATTTCCACGGCGATTCCCGTTGTTTGTATAAGCAACTGCTGACCACTTTTGACAAACCATTGGAGGTGCTAAAATGGCGGACATCTTCTTCAACTAGCCATTCCATTGCTGATTGCTGGGAGAAGAAAACACACGGATTGTCTTTCTTCTTATTCCATTCAGACAACAACTGCGTAAAAACAGAGTAACAGATGGAATCAGATTATGGACTTCCCAGAGACCTTTCTCATCTCCAACAGATTCGATCTCTTTACAAACCACAGCTACCCCCTTGCCTTCAGGTTTTTCATCACTACACCAACTGTTGTCTTTCTGAATTCAGCTTGGAGTTTTTTTGGGTGGAATCAAGAATTTGTGTTTTGAGGCTTCTGAATCGTTTTAATATTCGATCATTTGACGGGATTATTTTGATTGTTACTATTACCATTCAGAAAAATATGTCTAACTTTGCGTTGATCGCTTACTTCATGGTCTATGCATGGTGTTTTCCGTCTTACCCTTTTGGTCCTTTACTTCCATCACACGTAGTTTTTGTGTTTGATACATGGAATCCTGTTAATGTCTCTACAAGAGCCCTTTGGATAGATAGAACCCTTTTAATCATACATATATAAGTTTGTATGATCTACTTTGAATGATCTTAAGTTTTATGTGGTTAGTGATTCAGAAGTCTCAACACACCATCGATATATTCTTCTTTATCTTAGTTGACTACCTGATTGATACTATCAGTGCATACAGTAATAGATAGTAATAATGGGGGGATAATCAGAGCAATGATGGATGGTTTAAGAGGTCTAAGGTTCGAATTCCGTAGGTGCCATCAACTCCTTTTGGGACACATCTGCCGTTTGGAAGACCTAAAGTTTTGTCTTCATGGACCCATGGACTAGTTAGGTCAAAGGCATCAAATACCGCGGTTGTTCAAGAAAAAAACTAGAGATACTTTTAAGTACATAATATTTATATACGGAAAATACTCATGCACCTCTTTAGTGAGGTTTGAGCTCTTGACCTCCTATGACGTGAGGCTCTACTAGTAACCTGGACCAATGACCCTTTGGTAGAAAAAAACTACAATTGATGGACTGCTAGGTAGCAAGCACCGGTACAAGTTCTAGTTACATCTACTATGAGCTCGTTGAATTCTATCTCCATTTAAAGAATATCTTTCCATGATTAGCTTGTTTATTTTTGCAGCATATTTACCTTGTTTACAGTTGATATGTCAGGGGGTCTTCAAGGAAACAACTTCTTTACCCCTCGGGGTAGAGGAAAGAACGGGTCCATCGTACGCCCAGACCCCACTTCTTGTGGGATCTCGGGATATGCCACTAGATATCCTAGAGGCTAGAACACGAACTCAATGATATGTTATGCTTTTGAACCATTCACTAGTCTTGGTTCTTCTATCCTTTGGGACCAAGAGGATCAATCTGCATACATGTCACCCTCCAGACCCTACTTTCAAGTGGAATATATTGGGCTTGTCTGATTTGGTTTGTTTTGATTTTATGCTTTTTGACCATGTCTTACGGGCTCCTTCACAGGGAACTACTGTGCGAGTAGAATTTGGTGATGCAACTACTGCAGCAGATTCCTCTAGTGCTTGTGCTATCAGTCAATCATTTCCTCACACTTATGGTCAGCCTTTGGCTCATTTTCTTAGAGCTACATCCAATGTCCCTGATGCACAGATTATTACTGACCATCCTGCAATCAAGTATGCATTTTTTTAAGTATATAATATTTATATATGGCAAAGACTCACACACACTCCTCACCTTTGGTGCAGCTTGAACCCTTGACCTCCAGGGAGTTTGGGATCTACCAGTAACCTGGATACCTTTGTACCAATGACCCTTTCCTTTAAATACGATCTCTAGCAATGAGCTCATGTTGATTGCCATCTCATCTTTCAGGGTTGGATTGGTTTTCTGTGGTAGACAATCTCCAGGAGGACATAATGTTGTATGGGGACTATATGAAGCTCTCAAGATTCACAATTCTGAAAGTACTTTGCTTGGATTTCTGGGTAACCATTCCATTGCTATTAATGTTATTATATAACCGTTTGATGTGCAGATATAACAAGAATTCTATCTCTTCCAAATGGCACTAAACTTCAATGGATGTGATTAGGTGGTTCTGAAGGTTTATATGCTCAAAGAATACTCGAAATCACAGATGATGTTCTTGCAACCTACAAAAATCAAGGTACTTACACGGAATGATCATTTTGGGACCGTGGTTTTCTTTTTCTCCCAAAGTATCTTATTTTAAAACTGTTTTGATCTTCTGAAGGTGGTTTTGATCTTTTGGGGCGAACGAAAGATCAAATAAGAACAACAGAACAAGTGAATGCTGCAATGGATGCATGTAAGGCTTTGAAGTTGGATGGCCTTGTTATTGTTGGAGGTATGCATGAACTTTGGTTATATATGATTGTGATAGATATACAATTTCTTGTTTTCTTATTTATTAATCTCGTTTTTCGTTTTCAAAATTGAAGGGGTAACATCAAACACAGATGCTGCCCATCTTGCTGAGGCTTTTTCTCAAGCAAAATGCTCTACAAAGGTAGCTTTGGATGTCCTGCTTTCGCTAGATAAATCTGTCCACAATGAAAAAGACACGATTTTATAAATGCATAATTATTACATGTTTTAATTAACTACATGACAAGTTTACCCTTAAATAATAAGAGGGAGTAATGATCTTTTCCATCTCATAATTAAGGATATAATTGGAAAGTTGGCACTTACTTTTCAAGTGGACAAACTAAAATAGAAATATGGACATTGCAGGTGGTAGGAGTACCTGTTACATTGAATGGAGATCTCAAGAACCAGTTTGTCGAAGCTAATGTTGGTTTCGATACAGTTTGCAAGGTGTACATCCCTTGATCTTAACTTCATATGATTGATGACTTACAAAAGTACAACTATTTGATTAATGGCTTTAGGCCATTCTGATTATATAGATACCTCATTCTGTCTTAAAGGAAATATCTCATCTTTCTTGCCTTTTGTTTAGGTTGACTCTCAGCTCATCAGCAACCTCTGCACAGATGCTCTTTCTGCTGAGAAGGTAACCACCTCATTCAGATAATCCCTCAACTCTTGAATACAATAATGTTGGCATTTGAATCTTGTTTTACATTCTATGCTAGCAAGATGAAGTGATCAATGTATGACAACCAAACCAAACGAATCCTATATATCCCACCTAGAGGTGGGGGGTATGGGGTGAGATGTATATATACATATCCTCTATCCCAAGGATGTGGGGTCTAGGGGTGGGGTGATTAATGTATAACAAAACCAAACCAAACGAACCCATTATATCCCACCTAGAGGTGCGATCTAGGGGTGGGTATGGAAACCTGTCCTCTACCCCAAGGATGTAGGGTCTGAGGGGTGGGATGGTCAATGTACAAAAAGAGACACTATTAAATAGTTGAAGTTTGAAGTTTCTCCATTTCCTTGCTATTTAGTTACTTTTTCCCCATTATCATATCTAAATGCTTCTTTTTCTTGTTCTTCTTGCTTCAGTACTATTATTTTGTTCGGCTCATGGGTCAGAAGACCTCTCACGTTGCCTTGGAATGCACTCTGCAGTCACATCCTAACATGGTGAATATCCTATTACAACTTCAATATAGAAACATATTTATTCAGGGGCAGGTTATTTTAAGAACCTTAAACATCTTGAGAACCATGAGAACCAATTATTCATAATGAATATCATGAAAGAATATGCATGATATTATGATGAATAATATTCATGCAAGTCATGCATATTCATGATGAATAGTTGGTTCTCACGGTTCTCAACATATTTACGGTTCCTAACTGAACTTTCTCCTACTTTTGTTTTTCTTCTTGTTGATTTCAAGCTAAACCTTCTATGACTTCTTTGTAGGTTATTCTTGGTGAAGAAGTTGTTGCTTCAAAACTTACCATCTTTGATATAACAAAACAGATATGTGATGCTGTTGAAGCCAGGGCAAAACAAGGTCCGTGGTGGTCTTTTTTTCGTCAATCTGGTGGTTACTACTATCACCTCATCTTCTAAAATTTTGTTTATTGAAACAGAAAAATACCATGGTGTCATCCTACTTCCAGAAGGGCTTATAGAAAGCATTCCTGAAGTTTATGCACTCTTGCAGGTATCTATTTCCCTACCCTTTTCCATTTTAGTTTAAGTCCTCATGAATCTATATCTTTCAATCAGAATATTACTAAAATCTTGTGATTTCAGGAAATCCATCGATTTCTCCGACAAGGTGTTTCTGTTGATAAAATATCAACACAATTGTCACCTTGGGCATCCGCATTATTTGCATTTTTGCCATCATTTATTAGAGAAGAGGTCCGTTTAGCGTCCTTATTCATATGGAGATACGTTCTTGGTTAAATTCTTACGTATATTATGCTCATATAAAACCTTTAATACCGCAGCTTCTCCTTTATCCTGAATCAGATGACTCAGCACAATTGTCTCAGGTACTTGGTTCAACGTCCCTTGTAGTAACATCATAGAAAGATTGTAAATTGGATTTCACAATGATTGATTCTTGAATGTCTATTCTTAGATTGAAACCGAGAAGCTTCTTGCTGTTCTTGTAGAAGCGGAGATGAACAAACGACTGGTAAGATACGAGCATTTATGGGCTGAGTGTTATTTGTGCAATAGGAGCTAGAAGATCCGATATTTACCAACAATCATAAAGATTATCTGTTTCTTGGAAACAATCTCTCAGTCTCTTGGGACAGAGGCAACGTCAGCCTACATCTCCCCCCCCCCACCCCACCAAAAGGCCAGGTGGGATATACTGAGTTTGTTTGGTTTATACAACATCTCTATCTTTTGGGATAGAGATTTCGTTTCCATGTACCCCCCACCCTATGTTTGGGTTGGATATACTGACTTTGTCCGGTTTATAAAGATTATCCGACTCTTGGAAACATCTCTAGTCTTTTGGGACAAAGGTAAGGTGTGCGTACATCTTCAACACCTCCCCCACACCCCGCCCCCCATGGGGGGACCGTACCCTAAGTGGGATATACATGATCTATTTGGTTTATAAAGATTGCATCTTTAAAATGGTTCTTAAGAATTCATTATCTGTGAAATATGTAAACAGAAAGAAGGGACATACAAAGGGAAGAAATTTACTGCTATCTGCCATTTTTTGGGTTATCAAGCTCGGGGTTCTCTGCCTTCGAAATTCGATTGTGACTATGCCTATGTATGTGATCCGTTGCATCCCATTCACCTAAACATTCTATATTAAACATCAATAAATCGTTACTTAGTGATCAACAATAATGATACAGGTTCTTGGACATATTTGTTACCATAGTTTGGCCGCTGGTCTAAATGGTTATATGGCCACCGTAACTAACTTGAAGGATTCTTTAAGCAAATGGCGGTGTGGTGCTGCTCCAATAACGGTAGGTTTCACTGTTCATGACTTCATGTTATCTCCATTTGTCAGCATTCCAGATTGATCAATTTGTGACTTTATGACCAATTTGGAAACCTCTAGGCTATGATGGCCGTAAAGGATCATGGTCGTGCTTCTGGAGCCATGATGATTGGAAAACCCGCTGTCCATCCTGCTACAGTCGACGTTAGAGGCAAAGTGTATGAGTAGGTCACTTTATCATGATTCTTGATGCATATTAAGCTTATTTAAGATCTGGTACTTGAAGGTTGATGTTATCTGATTTTATGGGGTATTATGCAGGCTGCTTAGAAAAAATGCAAACAAATTCTTGATGGATGATGTTTACAGAAACCCGGGACCTCTTCAGTTTGATGGTCCGGGAGCTGATTCTAGGACGGTGAGCTTGTATATCGAGGATCTGGATTACATGGGCCGTATCAAAGAACTGAACGTATATCTCGACAAGGTACCTTCAACTCACCATCATCTGGTCTTCACCCATCTGGGTAGAGGTCGGGTCTGAGGTCTGCATACATCGTTGAATTCCATTGGACCCAGAAATAATACATTGGAAGAATCCGTTGGGTTTTCCAATATCAATAGGTTGATACCCCTCAGGCCCTACTTTCGAGTGGGATATACTGGATTTGTTCGGTTTATTGATTTTTGTGGTCATTTTAATGCACAGATTTTACAAGGGTACCTATTTATATGCTATTGCTTGCTTTTAACCTGTTTTTCAAAACCTTATCATATCCGACTTTCTCTATTTATCACAATTTTCGAGGGTCTATATGGAAATTGCTGCTTTACTCTTTGGGCTTCCATGACCCCACCTATAGATGGAATATAATGAGTTCGTTTGGTTTCGTTTGGCTTACACTGCATTCTAAAATTTGTTGATGTTTATTTCTGTAGGTACGAAGCATTGTGAAACCAGGTTGTTCTCAGGACATTTTGAGAGCGGCTTTGAGCGCTATGTCGTCCGTGACCGACATTCTCTCTGTCATGTCGTCTTCATCAAATGGCAGCATTTAAAGTAGTTCGAATTTACCGGAATGTTACTGTAACCTTAAGTTCATTTCTCAATTTGTATAATGAGCTCTTTTAGCATCCCAATCTTTGATCATTTGGGGAAGTTGAATAATGAGAAATAACCGCGTTTTAGGTAGCGAAATGCTGCCATTTTGTAAATTCTTTGCGGGTTGTTTAAAGGTATCGATTATATTGAATCAACATTAATGCTTGTGACCTTGCAAACATATCGATATTGCAGTTTCCAAACCTGCCGAGATCAAGGCGTTATACAACACGGACGTTTGATCGACAATAAAATATTCTATTAAGTTACATGGTCAGTCAAATTTTGTATTCTTTTAAACATTCAAGACGAGGAACTGGTTGAGACTGATTCAAATCACATGTACGGGTCGTTGTAATCTCAGATATCCGGCCAAGATCTTGAATCGAGTACAAACGTTTATAAATTTGAAAAATATACAACAAAACAATGTTGTTTCTGTTTTAAAAGTTCGGAACCGAGAACCAAATCAGATATAACCAGTTCCGTTCCAGTTTGGTTCTTTGGGAGGTTAAAGAAATCCTCAAAAGAGAATAAAGAATTGTCAACCATTAGATCTAAAAATAGATGGTTTATATTCGAATCTAATTGTACGTAAAATGTAACAGTCTTTATTATTCACAATCGTTTGATTAAAATAGATGAATGGTTCAGATAAATTCTTTTGTTTTGGTTTGTTAACTGTATTTTACCCCGTCACGTCCCTATAAATATAATAAGTTATAAGATGATGTCATATGCATCATTTTTTTATGTTAAAATCAGGTCAAAATATTAATTAAGAATGTTAAAAGTGAGTATTAAAGTTGATGTAAGGGTGAATTTAGCCCATCCAAAAAGTGTAGGGGGCAAGTGTGAAAATACAGAAAAGATGCGCAAATTCAAAATTTGAAAAAATAGTTGCCGTTAGACAACGAGAGAGCGTGCTCCCAAACGGCTATATAGAACCCAACCTCTTTCTTCTTCTTCATTCGAAACCCTCTTTGATTCTGATAATTTTTCTAGGGAGAAAGAAAATGGAGTCCACCAAAACGGCAATGGAGGCATTCGAGAAGCTAGAGAAGGTTGGAGAAGGAACCTATGGCAAAGTGTATAGAGCCAGAGACAGAGCCACTGGAAAGATCGTCGCTCTTAAGAAAACTAGGCTTCATGAAGACGACGAAGGTGTTCCCCCCACAACACTTCGAGAGATCTCAATATTGCGAATGCTCTCCCGTGATCCTCACGTCGTCAGGTATGATGAATCTACCGTAGGTTTGATGAATCTACTTCTTTGTTGTTTCCTTACTGTAACGGAGATTTAAGACATGTGCACTCGTATCCGTTGATTTGAATCGTTCCAATTAGATTTGTTTAACCTCTTTCAAATCATTACCTTTATAGGTCATAATCGCAGTTTTAATTGTTCAATTTGCGCTCTAGGGTTTACTTTTCTTCGTAAGAATCAACTCTGTATACAGATTCTTTTCATGATATTACTTAGGTTGAAGAGGCTAAATCCTAGGGTTTCCTTGACTTTGTTTATGTTGGTTAGAAATAATTGCTCTGACTCTTTTCGTGTTATCTGACTGGGATTTGAATCGATCTTACTCTTTAGCATGCGCCTAATCTCCATTATCCGTATGGTGTAGATAAAAAATTGAAATGATATTAATAATTCTAGATTTTGACTGCAATCATTGTACCAAACAGGCTGATGGATGTGAAACAAGGTGTGAATAAAAATGGGAATACTGTTCTCTACTTGGTATTCGAGTATATGGAGACCGATTTGAAGAAATTCATCAGATCATATCGCCAAGCCGGTGAGAACATTCCACCTCAAGTTGTCAAGGTACAAGTTTCCAAAGCTAACTTCAATGAATCAAGCTTCCTTCTTGTTCTTTTGGCAATAAACATATTCCTGTTGCTATTTGTATATCTGTGTGTATATGTATGTATGTATGTATGTATTAAAAGTGTTTTCTGGTGCTTTTTGATGTAGAGCTTGATGTACCAGCTTTGCAAGGGCGTTGCTTTCTGTCATGCTCATGGTGTATTGCATAGGTATCTACTGTCTCCTTGTCTTGAGAAATTAAAGAGATTCCTAATTCCATATGCTTTCGGTATTCACTTCACTTACCCATTTGATTCAGGGATCTTAAACCGCACAATCTTTTGATGGACCGAAAGACATTGATGCTTAAAATAGCCGATCTTGGACTTGCCCGAGCTTTTACTCTACCACTTAAGAAGTATACTCATGAGGTATCATGCTTGTCATGTATTTCGTCAATTTCTCTGATGACAAACTCATTACATTGCTTAAACAGTCAATCTTATACAGTTATCCAACAATTTCTATCTTTTCAGATTTTGACCCTTTGGTATAGGGCTCCAGAAGTCCTTTTGGGTGCCACCCATTATTCAACAGCAGTGGACATGTGGTCCGTTGGCTGCATATTTGGTACGGCTAGTTTATGATATTGATGATCCATGGCTAGTGTATGATCCTTTATTAGTTGTAGTTGCTAATGGGAATTGATAGATCATCTGATTTGTTCTTTGTTCAAAATGGTAGCTGAACTAGTCACAAAGACAGCTATATTTGCTGGAGATTCCGAGCTTCAACAGCTACTGCATATCTTCAGGTCCATAATTCAAAACCATTGTCTTGTGATGGAGAATCAGAATTAAATCTAATTGGCTTGCATCATTGATTCTTGATTTTTATTTATTGTCAGGTTGTTGGGTACTCCGAATGAGGAAATCTGGCCAGGAGTGAGCAAGCTCAAAGACTGGCACGAGTATCCCCAATGGAAGCCGAAGCAAATATCAACCTCTGTTCCAACTCTAGATCAAGATGGTCTCGAACTCCTTTCGGTAAATTCATCTTGCCTTTTGAAATCCACACAACGGACTTTATATTATTTTTGGGTAATTCTGGGTATCTGGGCTGGTTTACACTTGCCGACTAATCCCCAGACGATCATAAATGGTCTGGAGTCATCGTAGGTGAACCTCCATGACCACAATGCTTTGAACACGCCTGGATTTGAACGATTTTTTATGTTTGTTGTGCAGAAAATGTTGGAGTATGAACCATCAAAAAGGATTTCAGCTAAGAAAGCAATGGAACATCCATATTTCGATGATCTGGACAAGACCCATCTCTGAAACGTTGAATTTGTTGTTGCTTGTCTCGAGCAAAATTGACTTTATTTGCTGTGTTTTCAACTTTAACTTCTGTGATTTGTTGGTAGTTCTTAATTCGATTAGAAGGGCTTTTTAGGAATTTAAGGCCTTTTGCTTGTATTGGCAACTCGTAATATCTTGTACCCTACTATTTTACAAGGTTATCATGACTTAAAACTCTCCTATAACATTTTAAAATTCTAATAACTAAAAAACTATTATGATATAAAATTTTATGTGAGACGTATAATCTACAAACTCAATGCATGACTAGTTGTTGTTTGTGCATTTAAATAGAATCTTGTATTGTGTAGTAGAATCCTAATAAAAGATGTAGAAATCAAACAATTGATGAGAAAGAACATTTGAATTTTTTTTTTTTGCTCGACTGAAATATAATGTTAAGATTAAAAGTTTATGGAACATGACATATATAAGAGACATTACTAAATACATTTAATATGAAAATTTTATGATTAATTAAAAAACCATGAAACACGTCATAAATCATAAGAACAATAGATTGGTCGTCAAACAATAGTACAATATCTTTTGAAGAAGTAAAAATATATAGCAATAGTCAATAGAAGAAGAAATTGATAAAAATATCCAACAAAAACATATAGCAACATCAAGCACATGAGCTTAACATTGAATTGTGGAAACACAAAAAATAGCAATAGGCTGTAGCAATAAACCTTGGTAGGAGATACATAAAATTAAAGAGACAATAAACAATAATATATAAAGAATGACTAGTTATTTTTTTTCTCTAATGTGATTAGTTAATATATTTTTAGACCTTTATTATCTACTATTTTTTTTACTCTTATTATATGCTACAATCATATAACTTTTTTTGAGTTATTAATTTTTTTTAGATTACCATTATATCTGAAGGAAAAAAATTGAGCCCTTAATATTTTTTAGGCCTGGGCAAGAGCCCGAGCCTTCCTCCTCAGAAACCGGTGAATATTAGTCAACTTAATTTCTTAATTTCTCTTATTTTATTGATTCTCTTTGGCAATTGCTTTTTTCTCTAACAAGGACGCCACCGTTCTTTCATCACCCATGTGAAATGCACCCCCTCACCTTCTCTCTCTTTCTCTCTCTCTCTCTCTCTCTCTATATATATATATATATATGATTTCTATATGCGTAGGTTATTTTAGAAGATTAATGTGATACAAGAACTTCTATCGACGATCTATCCTCTATCAAAAGTATCGATCTTTCAGCAAACAAATTCATCGGTGGCATTTCCGATAGCATTGAAAGTCTGAAAGGTATCCAAAAGGTTCTTCCTGTGTTCCATCTGTTAAGCAATTATAGAGATGAATTTCGACAATGAAAATTTTATGAAAATCAAGAGAATTTTGCAAAATGTTTGCACCTGATTTTACAAAAACAAACTATTGATTAAGATTTCAGACTTCAGACATTTGTCAGTTTATAAAAAACAAACAATCTGATTGATTCAAATTTCAGACTTCAACACCACCACTTATTAATCAAAAGTGAAATAAGATTTCAGACTTCAGTACCTCTTAAAAAACAAACGTCACTTTATATGAGCAAGACATTCTTGAAATCGAACATTGTTATCAACCACCATCTCGAGTTCTCGAGATGTCACATCGAGTCGTTTCCATTGTTGTGTAATATCGCGTTCATCTTTTATAATCTATGTTGTTGTATCCACTTTTACGTTTCCTGAGTATTTTAAAACATATGTTTAAGTTTGTTAGCTTCAAATTTTGTTTTCTTGCACATTTTGTTAATCAACTTCATATATAAAATAATACAAATATTTAATCACAATACTTAAAATAATTTCATCTAAATCATAATTAAAACACATGAAATAAAGGGAAAATGACTCAAATAGTCATTTTACTTATTCAAATTGGTCTCCTAATTATTACTCTCCCGGGTTTATCCAGATGTCGGTACGTCCGCAATATCCACATCCGCAATATTGCGAGTCTGGCTAAAAGACAAAGAAAATCAAATTCCACCAGGATAGCAAGTGGGGCATCGTGGCAATTGCAGACCTGACCATCGCATTGCGGACTTGACTTCCGTAATTGGTAGCAGTCGCAATTGCATACCTGCGTTGAATCTGCTAAAATTTTCTTCTGTCTTTTACGAAAGTGCCACTTACGTAGGTAGTGACAGGTAAAATATGAAGAAAAATTACTAGAATATCAATTAGTAACGTGCAAGTATGCAACTTGAATGGGATTTGGCGGGAAGTTCGTTTATGTTCATTTATTTAATAAATAAGCGAACATGAACAATTTTTTTTGTTCGTTTAGTTAAACGAACGAACATGAACAAGAGTCTCGTTCGTTCATTTATGTTCGTGAACGTTCGTTTATATATTAAATTTAATATATAATATTTTATTATTTACTTTAAATTCAAATAATATTTATTTATGTTCGTTTAGCCCGTTCATTTAACATGTTAACGAACGGACATAAACGAACACGAACACGCCTGATTTCTAAACGAACGAACACGAACACAATAATTCTCGTTCGTTTACCATTTGTGTTCGTTCGTTTGTTCGGTTAAGTTAAACGAATGAACATAAACAAGTTTTTGTTCGTATTCGTTCGATTCGTTTATAGCCCTACTTATATCTCTCGCTATGAACCTCGTTTGTCCTCTGAGTGCTCGATAACACAAGTTAGTTTTCAAAAATAAAAATAAAAATAACAAAATAGATGAATATAATTTAAAAAAAAGGAAAATTCTAAAAAGTTCCACAAATTCAAATTTCAAAAAAATAGGTGCCGTTGGACGGTTGGAGAACGAGAGAAAGGTCTCTTCAACGTCTGTATAAAATCCACCTTCTTTATTCTTCATCATCTTCTTCCATTGAAACCCTCTTTGATTCTGACGATTTTCTGGAGAGAGATAGAAGCATAGGAGAATGGAGTCGACGAAGACGGCAATGGAGGCTTTCGAAAAGCTCGAGAAAGTCGGAGAAGGAACCTATGGCAAATTGTACAGAGCCAGAGAGAGAGAGAGCCACTGGAAAAATCGTCGCCCTTAAGAAAACCAGACTTCATGAAGACGATGAAGGCGTTCCCCCAACAACACTTCGAGAGATCTCGATCTTGCGGATGCTCTCCCGCGATCCTCATGTCGTCAAGTATGTATTTCAATTTCATTTTCTTATTATTACCTTAATACCTTTCTAGGGTTTAATGGATTTTTGATTTGTTTTCTGTATTGATTATTATAACTCTAATGTAGGGATTAACTACTCTGTCATATGTTGATTTGAATCGCTCATATCATTTTTTAAACTTCTACAAATGTTTTATTTTAGGTTATAGTTGTAGTCTTATTAGGGATACTGCCATACACGGTAATGTTGTTTCTATTTGGAGATGGTCGTTAATTGTCACAGTACTGTGCTTTTCCTGTGCTTACATGTTGTTTCTGATAACCAATTTTATAATGTATGTTAGGAAGTAGAGATCAAATTTAGGGTTTAGACTACTTTTTACTCCTTTCATGTATTTGTTCAACTCTTTTTCAAACTTGTATTTTCATGTTTATCATAGTTTACCCTTAATTATGCTTCTGTTTGTGCCTGTGGTATGAATTATGTTGACACTTCAACATCATTGACCATATTAAATCATCAATCGTAAGAAACCTGCTTATTGCAAACTTTATTTTGTTTGTTAATTGTTATATTCATGGTAATGGATATATGCAGCCTGCAAGGTTTGATAATCAAATTGAAATGGTATTCATTAATTCTGGATTTGAATGTCATTAATGACATCAAACAGGCTGATGGATGTGAAGTGAAGCAAGGTGTTAACAAAGATGGGAAGACAGTTCTCTACTTGGTGTTTGAGTGCATGGAAACCGATTTGAAAAAGTTCATCAGATCATTTCGTCAAATGGGTGAAAACATTCCACCCGAAGTCGTCAAGGTACAAGCTACTTTAGTATTCCAGCTCATTCTGCTTGTTCTTTCTGCAATAAACATTTTGTTGAAAGTGTTCTTGTGGTATTTGATGCAGAGCTTGATGTACCAACTTTGTAAGGGTGTTGCTTTCTGTCATGCCCATGGTGTCCTTCACAGGTTTATCTTGTCTCTTTCTTTCAAAAATTAAAAGAATCGTTCTGCCTTTTGTTCTCATTTTACTTTCTGATTTGTTTCAGGGATCTTAAGCCCCATAATCTTTTGATGGACCGAAAGACATTGATGCTTAAAATAGCTGATCTTGGACTTGCCCGGGCTTTTACTCTACCAATTAAGAAGTATACTCATGAGGTATCAAGCTCATTGTGAACAAACTTACTACTATTAGACTTCTTAAGCAGTTAATTGACAGCTTGGTATAACTTTTATCAATGCAGATTTTAACCCTTTGATATAGGGATCCTGAGGTCCTTTTGGGCGCTACCCATTATTCAACAGCTGTTGACATGTGGTCTGTTGGCTGCATATTTGGTATGACTTTTGTCTTATGCCGGTTTGTAACCATTCATAGCAGTTTCATTCACTATGCCTGATCAAGTGGTTTGTTCTTCAAATTAGCTGAATTAATCACGAAAACCGCTCTATTCGCTGGAGATTCCGAGCTTCAACAGTTGCTGCACATTTTCAGGTCCATAATTCAAACCCAGAATCAAATCTTGGCTACTGCATAAACTAACTATTGGGTTGTATTGTGCATATATTCAGGATGTTGGGTACTCCTAATGAAGAAATCTGGCCAGGAGTGAGCAATCTTAAAGACTGGCATGAGTATCCGCAATGGAAACCCAAGCTAATTTCGACATCTGTCCCAAATCTCAGCAGAGATGGCCTCAATCTCCTTTCGGTAAGTAAAGAATTCAATTTGATATTTGAATCCCGAAAACCAATTTGATATTATTGTAATCTTGTCAACATCATATTCTTCTTGTTTGTTTTATGTTGTGCAGCAAATGCTGGAGTATGAACCATCAAAAAGGATTTCTGCAAAGAAAGCAATGGAACACCCGTATTTTGATGATCTCGACAAGACCCATCTGTGAAAAACGTTGAATTTGTCTTTGCTTGTCTCGAGCAAAATTGATCTTTTTCTATATGCTATGCCCAAACTTTAACTTCTAGTTTGTACACACTTCTTCGAAATCTAATGCAAAGCAATGCGTGTTTCATCTGCTATCGTCCACATGATCCCCGTGATCAGTCCCGTACATGAATATACTACTAGAAATTAATCGTGATTAAAGGTCGACCAGTTAAGAGGTGACTAAAGGACCACATCAGCAAGGTCACTGGTTTGAGTTCCTTCAAGGTTACCGGGGATTTTACTGGCCATTCCCCGAGGCCTTATAAAATTAGTCGAGGTATGTGTAAGCTGGTATGGACACCTATGGTTGAAGAAGGACCATGTGAATTTAGATAATTCGTGTATTTATGCTTCCATTCATTGCATATGCGATCGGTTCCTAATTCCTAAATATGGCATAACTCCAAAAAATGTGGTGATAAGAACTCGTATATCACATGGTCATATATCGTCCGATGGTAATAAAAGGCCATGACAAATCCTGACTTACGGACGTCCCACTCTCCGGATCTCACCTATGCTTTTTTGGAGTTCAAGTTGGTTGACTAACGAGGTTCATCGAGATGCACCAGATAAATTCTCATCTAAAACTCAATTCATGGGTGGGCATGACTTTAAAGGTAATTAAGGGTCCAAATCTCGTCTTATTCTACCATAACTTACCTTTCTCACACGATCCTTCGCCTGAAACAAGTTTCATAAAGAAGTCCTGTTTGATTACTTTGCGTAGAAGTTTTTCGACATGCTTTTTGTGCTTCAAAAACAACTCCATCGTCATGGACCGGTTGAATTTTCAAATTTATCATGGTAATTGTTAGATTCTCATATATGCTATATTTAAACCTTTTTTTATTTAATATCTGGCTCTTTTAAAAAGTAATAGGATAAAATTATACATATTCTTATATGATATCAGAATGAAAGTCTATGGATGTGTAGATTTAATTTTTTGAGGCAACTAGTCCCCTGTCCACATTATGAGACAATAAGAGAATCCCACGTCTATAAATAATGTGGTTTACACTTTAAAAATTAATTAAGGTTTACATTTTTGACATAAAACTAATCACGTTATAAAACTATGTCGTTTAAAAAAAATACAAGCATAACATTATTATAATATAAAAGATGGGTTTTGGTGTGTTTTTTAGTGTACGGGTGGAGTTAATTTTTTTTTAGTAAAGTTCACTTTTGGTCCCTAATTATTTTCAACGGTTTTCGTCTCTCAAATTCGTTTTAATAGATTTGTCCTTCATGTTTGACACCTCACAACGGTTTTGATCCCTCTATTTAATAGCCGTTAACTTTTACCGTTAAGTCCATTAAGTGAGGGCATTTTGGTATTTAGATTTTTGCTAATTTCCTTTCGGAAACTTAAATAAAATATTATATTATTTATATATCGAAAAAACGTCTTCCCCTGCTACAGTCATCTTCTCCGGCAATCCCCATCTCCGGTCACTAAACAAATCCTGCATATACACACCATAACAATCCAAATAAAAAATCTAATAACACAAATTCAAACCATAATCACCAAACTCAACCTAAATCCAAAACCTTAATCCCCCAAATAAATCTGTATCTTACATCCATGAACAAAACAAAAAATATCCGGTAAATAGTTGCAGAAGATCAGATGATAAAAAATGGCACAAATAAACCCAGATCAAGGGGATTAATCACCCATTTCAAAAGATCAAACTCAAGAACATACACATCGATTCAAAAAATTAGTTACACAAACATCATGTAAATTGTAAGCCTAAATCTAAATCTAAATCGAATACAAATAACTCACGAAAGGTTCCCATCGATCCAGAACTTGCCTCTTGCATCGATCCTTTATTTTGGATTCTGAATCGTGATCTTACACAAGAAAATGAAGCGGTTGTACAACTTTAAACGCCGCTGGTGTTTGGGGATGAAGATGAGGAGGTTTATTTCGTAGTTTTAGGTTTTTTAGGCAAACGTCGTTGAGCAGAGGGAGGGAGGAAGGACATGGCCGGTGATGTTCGTCGGAGAAAAAGAGGGAAACGGGTGGATTGTACAGAGATATCCTCCTCAAGTCGACAAGCTCAGTCTCCAATTTTGAAAAAGAGAAAGAATGGGATGGATTGTACAGAGATATGGTACCTGTAGTTTCAATTTGGATTTGTACAGACAACCATATCCATCCCCTCATCTGTAATCATGTTGAATCTAGTGGCGGTTGATTTCACTCAGACCACCATCTCCGGTCACGCTTCTTTGGTACAGGGAGGAGTGGAGGTAACAACCTTCATCTCCGATCAAGCTCCTATCTTGGTTATGGTCGACAGATTGAGGATGAAAGAAGACATGATTAGGGTTTTTCTCTCAGAAGGTGGGGTTTGCACTGTGATATCGCCGGTGGAAATGAAAGATCGGAGAGGGTGTGGCGTGTAGTGACGTGGCGGTTGGGATAGGTTTGAGGTAGGGTGCTTTAATTTCATTAAAAAAAACAAAATATCTAATAAAAAATAAAAATAAACATGTAAATTTACTAAAATATCCCTCGTTTAATTTGATAAATGTGAGGGTTAAAACAGTTGAAAATAACAAATGTTAGGGACCAAAAATGAAATTTCCCTTTTTTTAAAATATTAAATGAATCCAACATTTTTAGTATGTTGATATATTTTGATTTTAATTTTTTAATTACTTTTACTTAACATTAAAACAATCAAATCACCAAATTATCTACTTCATTAATTATCATTCTTTGGTTGTTGGTAAATTACGATGGAAACCCTGTTTAGAAAGACATGTTTAAAGCTTTAACTTGAATTCCTGGTGGGGGCAATTTGGACATTTGAAATAGAGAATTATATCCAGGTGGTTTTGAGAGGGAGACCCGTTCTTTGATTCGACGAAGAAAGCGCAGATGGAAGCACCACCGCCGTGCCTCTAAGCTGACGCATTGCCCGGCGTTACCATTTTCTGCCTTCTCTCCAATCACGCGCCGCCACCTGTCCCCGCTTTCTCCCTCTTCACGTTTTACTAAACCTCAATACCTATAAAGAGGCGTTACGTACCTAATCACGCACATCATCTCTCAAAACACTGCTACACAAAGAACAAACCCTAGTTTTATTCGTTTGATTGCAGTTGCATACCAGTCTCAGTTTGTATTTCTGATACCAATGTAAGTTTGCATCTCAACTCTTTTTATAATTTGTTGTGAATTTAAAGTTTCGGTTTGAATTATAGATATTATTAAGTGAAAATTGATTACGAAATCGGAAGCTCTGTTCCGACGCTTTTGTTTTGTTTGTAAAATTTCTGGTGCCGTTTTTGTCTTTTTGAAGTTTAAGGCTAAGAATTTGTGGAGCATATTTTTGTGTTACGTAAGGTGTTGCAGATTCATATGTGGACCCTCTTGTTTGTTGTAAATTTTTTGTTTCTCAGAGTTGTTCAGGATTGCTGGGAAAACACGAACCAGGACATGTTTTGTTCATGTTGATTATTTTGTCCTGCACCGCAATTTGTCCTGCTGAATTTGTGTTTACTGGCATCTTTTTGACAATAGGAAACTAGGGTTTGTGTGTGAAACAGTTTTCATTACTCCCCCCTATGAGGATTATAGAGGGATTTTAGTGTCATGAATCCTGTTTCATTTAGGTTCAACAGGCACCTTCAGTCCCAAATAAGTTCAAAATTTTGCTTGTTGATTCTTGGTGCACCTGTTTAAACCATTTTCACTTTGTGTTGAAATATATGTAATCTATATGTGTTTGAAGTTACACTTCCTTCCAAAATGTTGAATAAAATAAAATAAAACTATTGGAAGTTGACCAAAGGTACAAACTACAAACTGAACAGGAGTGGCTTATTTTTGGGATGATGATATAATTTGTTTCAATGAGTTAGGACTTTGTGCACATATACGCATGACATATTTAAAACACTCTTCTCTAGAATTTTAATGGATCAAAGGGACGTGGAGATGGAGGACACAGAGAAGCTTTTAGAAGATGAAGCAGTGGGTGATCAAGAATGTGTGGGAAAGGACCAGCTTGATGTAAAAGAAGCAGGAGGCAAAGAAGAAGAGGGTGGTCAAGAACGTGTGGAAAAGGACCAGCTTCGTGTAAAAGAAGCCGGAGGCAAAGAAGAAGAGGGTGGTCAAGAATGTGTGGAAAAGGACCAACTTGGTGTAAAAGAAGCAGGAGGCAAAGAAGAAGAGTCTTCTGGTTTAGTATATGCCGACTTTCAAAACCCAGATGAAATTGGGGTAGAGCAAGAAAAGGTAAGTAAGAAAGACGAAGAGGATAGGCACCCTGACGAAAGTGAGCAGGAATTGCCTGTGGAAGAAACTCAGGATAGTGAGAAAGATACTACAGCAAAGGGTGATGATAAGATCGATGACAGCAAGAAAGATGCTACTGCTATGGGTGATGACCATGGTATACTAGACGAAGCTGACCATTATGCTTCTATAAAGATGTCAGAGAATCACAATGAAGGAGATTATACTGGGGATGAAAAACATCAAGAGCTTGCCACACCCAACTCCCTTGTGAAATATTCACCTAGCCAAGCTAAGGATCATAGTGCAGAGACACCGAAGAATGAGCTAGAGGACACAAAGGTATTTTACATTGAAATTGAGGAGTTAAATTGACACAATGACACCTTATGTGGATCCTTAAGATTTCTAATTTGCTCTCATATGTGACCATTAGATGGACGAGGGCTATGAATCTGGAACACCAGACGAGCAAGAAACATTCATGAAAGAGGTTGAGGCCTTCTATAAAGAGAAAAGCTTGGAATTTAAACCTCCAAAGTTTTATGGACAACCATTAAATTGCCTGAAGTAAGTTTATTGGTTCCAAATTTGCACTTTATGGTCTAGTTTTTTGGGTGAAAGCTCAGTTTTATTGTCGTTTTGTGATAGGTTATGGAGGTCTGTTATCAAATTGGGTGGATATGACCGGGTATACACACTTTTCCTTCTGCATCACGCGTTTGATAGTATATGTATGCTAAATGAATAATGTTGCCTTTCTTTCTGAAGTGGATGTTGGACATCCATCTGGAAACTATGATTTTACAACATTTAACTGAAGGCAAAAGCAATCTTTTTGTGTGGATTGCTGATAATCTATTTCAGATTGCATTACAATTGGTCGACATTAACTGTTAGTACGTGTCATGTCATAAAATTCAATTATGAAAAGAACAGTCTTTAGTCTTAGATAGTTGCAGGACACGGTGGTATTCCTGGGAACTTCAGGTCCAGGATGTTTGTTTTCTGGATCTTTTTGGTGGACTTTTACTTGAGAAATTTTGAAGAATAGAACCCGTTCTTTTTTTTAGTTTTCTGTTGGCTTCTTCAATAATTCTTTTACATATTTTATTTTGTCTATTTGTTCTAATTCTATTATTATCTGATTTATTTGTTCCTTCGGCAAAGTGAAAGTGAAAATAATAATATTGACATTTCATATTTTAGATTGACTCGCAGCATTTTCTCTTTCTTTCCACCCTAACACACTTCTGTCCCTATAGATATGCAGGGTGTATTTTACAAGTCTGTATGTGAGAACCAGTACTCTTCTTTGTTGGTAGAAGAAGAGATCATAAAATATACTGAAACAGCATGTCCAAATCTTAAGCGTTCTGATTTTTTTATGTCACATGTTGACCATCAAATATGTTATACAAAAGCTCACCATAAGTTAAAACATTTTTTTAAATTCCTTATTGGAGGAGAACCGTAGGATCTATATTTCTGAATGAGACATTTTTTTGTGGGGAAATGATTAAAGGTATGATTATCATTTACCGTCCAGCAATCATATCTTGTTAAAGATATAGCAAATTCTGTGGACATATGCTTTAATTGAGCTCAGTTATGCACTTTTAAGAAAAAGGGGATCGTGGTGCACCAAGGCTCGTCGGATTTGTGAGCTTTGGGGAGGTTGCGACATTTCCCTTGCAATTATGCTAAGAGTCTGTTTCGTGTCTCGAGCCCACTCCAATTCTTACCTATCTATTTCTGATTTTCTGCTTTTTGCCCATGCTCAATGCCCTTCTTTGTTAAATCCATTTAAACAAGAGTTATTATTATACGTATTATTACCTATAGTGTGGCTTTCTCTAGGTTACTGGATCCAAAGTGTGGCGGCAAGTAGGAGAATCTTTCCATCCACCCAAGTAAGAAGAACATGTGTTTATTCAATAGCATCTACCGTTTTATTCAAAACGACAGCAGTGGGGGTTTGTTCTAATGATCTTTAGTCTTGCATTTTTCTTTTTAGCTGCTTTTAGCGGCAATTAGAGTGTCAATGTTTTCAAGCTCTATAGTCAAGGACCAAGGATGGTGCTCATTCCTCCAAAGCTGTGATTTAGTCACTTTTTGATGTCTTCTTTCTTGTATTTGTAAAGTCATTATACTTTATACGACTTCCATGCTATTAATCCGATATGGTATCTATTATGAAGGACTTGCACAACCGTCTCGTGGACATTCCGTCAGTTCTATGAAAAGGTAATGGCTCTTTTACTTCAAATTTATGCAATAACAATTATTGAGAGGTTGACTCTTGTGTGTAAGTTTTTATCTGGGCATGACGCCTAGAATCTGATACTCCCTGATTCATATCAAATTCTGCCCAAAAATAAAGATCATTGATGCATACCAAATTCTGCCCCAAAATAAAGAGTATGAACTTTAGACAAATGTATGCACAGTTTCTTACTGATGATAAAGCTCCGAAACCAAGCAACACTTCAACTTGGAAATTATGTTTTCTTTGAGGTGGATGTACCATGAGTAGATGTTTCTTTGGCTGGTTAATAAAGTTTGAGGTGGTACAAGGTCTATGTTCTTAATTTGTTGATCATCAGTTGAAGTAACTTTCTGGTACCATGTTCTCTGTGCCTTGTCTATTTGTAGGCACTTCTCGAATACGAAAGGCATAAGGTCCATAATGGTGAGATTGAACTCCCTCTTGCAACCATCTTCCCAGAGGCCCCTACTGTTGAAATTGAGGTCAGCTTGAATCTTAGTGTTTGGGTACTAATGAATGTTATTGAACTTTCCGTGTGTTGCCATGCTTGATGATCTGCGAGATTAACATTTACAGTGTCATTAACACGTTTAAAGTTACCAAAATCACAAAAGTTGACTACAGTACCCCCAAGATGATAAACGATCTTCAAGTTTCAGGGTGCTATCATTGATTTCACATTTCTTCTTTCCAATGGATAAATCTTCTTATATTGGAACAACTGCTATATAAAACCATTGTTGTTAATTTGCATTACCTTGATGGTTAAAGTTTGTTGGAAAAATTTTGACTTTTCTCTTTCTCTCTCTATTATGTGCCCATGCTGATATATGAATTTGTTTCACATAAAATGGGGGATGAGAATAGTTGGTTTTACATCAGGGAATAAGTGAATATTCTTATTCTTGTGATTTGCTCTGAAGAAAATTGAGATTTCTTCTGACCAGTCCAATGGCAAAAACAAAATTCATGATATATTTTGAAATTTGGGAAGGGGGTTTAATCATTTGCAGGACATGACTACCCCAAGCTATCTTACTGGGAAGCCTTGCAACTTTGCCTAGATTTGGGCCCCCTGAAATGAACTTTACAGGATTTTCCTTGGTCTTTTTCTTTTTGGTATTGGTAATAATATAAAGGAAGAAGAGGACTAAATTTTATTCTTTTGACTTTGGAATTTCATTTTCTTGATGGTTTCCACAGGCAAATGGTCATCAGACCCCAGGATCAGGTAGGGCACGTAGGGATGCTGCAGCTCGAGCCATGCAGGGCTGGCACGCCCAACGTCTTTTCGGTTTTGGTGAGGTTAGTGAGCCAATCATCAGGGTTTGTTGGGGATGTGATCTTTATTTCTAACATTTGACTTGATACATAGTTTAAATAAAGGGTGTGACCATTTGCCATATATCTAATCCTAAGATGAAAACAAAACAAAGGAATCTTGTGGACTTAAATGAATATTTTTCAAAATTTTAGTAACGATGATAACAGCCAAACTGGTAAACATAGAAACTTTCCCCCCAAAAAATGTTAATTTTTTCATAGAACAGGGGAAGTATCAAATTTTATATTCCTGATGCCCAATTGACTTGTTATTCTTCTTTTTAGGAAAAGAATGCCAACAATTCACAGAAGCGCGAAAAAAGTCTGAAAAGTATTGGTAAGGTTCTCCATGTACAGATATATTGAAGTTAAAATTGTACAAAGACCAACATGTGTTCTTAATTGCATAATCTTCACCTATAGGGTCACTTAAACAAAAGAGACCAAGTGAAGTGGAGAATTCTGTGAAAGCTGTACGAACAGAAACATCTAGGCAGTTAAGGCTCGAGTTTGATTGTTGATATCTTCATCTAATATTCTTCTTCTTTCAATATCATATTTGTGTAACTATGTTGGTTTCATTCATTCTTATTTATTTATTTGTATCTCTTTCGTAAGTGTTTTTGACATTTGCTTACCTTCTTTTCAATTGTAATAGAGTTGTCACCACAGTTGCTGATGTGGGTCCTCCTGCTAATTGGGTGAAAATAAACGTGAGAGAAACGGTAAGTATTATTGAACCAGTGCCATTGGTAACATGCATTTGACATTTTTCAGTTAATGGATGCTTAAGTTCACTTTATGTGTCATCATGTACAGAAAGATGCCTTTGAGGTGTATGCTCTTGTTCCAGGGCTTCTGCGCGAAGAGGTAAGAGGCTCTTATCGCTCTACCTTTGTTCTCATTTGAAATAAAGCATCTTGACTCCCACTTCATTGCTGTTCCTTCATTGCTTTGTTGTTTGTATTATACTCTCTCCAGCCCAAAATAAATGTCCACAATGAAAAAGGTACACAGTTTTGGGAAGTGTAATTTCGACCCTTTTAATTAGCTAAATGACCAATTTTACCCTTAATAATATCGAGAGGAGTGTATTTTCCATCTCATAATTAAAGATATAATTCGAAAGTAGACACTTGCTTTTGAAAGTGGACACTTATTTTGGGACAAAATAAAATAAAAATGTAGACACTTGTTAAAGGGAGCATTTAGTAAGGATAATAATTGTTTGCCTATGGTGCTCCTTGTTCTTTGAAAATGGTGTGACCTGACATACTTGGGAAACCCAAATGCATCACTAGAATTTTTTGTTATTGAAAAAGTTCATTTTTTAAGAGCATCTCCAACAGATTCTCCAGATTGGATATTTTGGAGTTTTTAACCTACTTTTTGGCTCCGCCAGATTCTCCAAAATGAAAAAGGAGAGATAATACAAATCTCCAAATTTGCAGAGGTTTCCAAAATTGAATGCTGAAGAGAGAGAGAGAAATGGTTATTTTATTGTTTCTGCAATGAAGTTGATTGTATTGAATTTATTGGGATATTAAGTCTATTTTTTTAATAATATCATTAATATTGAAATCTCCAAAATGGAGAAATCGTTGGAGTTGAATAATTTTAGAGATTTTAACCTTTGCTTCTCCATTTTGGAGATTTTATAGAGAATTTGTTGAAGATCTCTAACTTCCAATTGCACCTTAAAAAACAAGCCCAAACTGGGCACTATGAACAAAAGAAAACTGGTTCCTTATGGTTGAACGAACCCTAAAGTTGTCCTATTAAGTTGGAAGTCGGGACTCTATTATAGAAGCATTTGAGCAGTTAGCAAGCATACTTTGATTGCTTATAAGCAGTTAGCAAGCATTCAGAACTTGTTTGGATGGTGTAAAACGAAATGCTAATTTTAAGCTTCTATATTGTGTTAAACACAGAATTGTAACATCAGTAGGTTTATTTCATGCTTTCAACGATATATAATCCAAATTCTATAAAATCATAAGCTAAGAGCCAACTGTATATCCTTGTTTTCGTGATGTACTTAGGTACGTGTTCAATCCGATCCTGCTGGACGTTTAGTCATCACAGGTCAACCTGAGCAACTTGACAACCCATGGGGTATTGCAGCTTTCAAAAAGGTATGCCTATTATTAAATTGCGCATTTGGTCCTCTTGTGAACAACCCATCTACATCCTACACCAGACCTTACTTTCGAGTGGAATATATTGGAATAGTTTGGTCTGCATGGAAACAGTTGTTCTACCCTTTGCGAAGGAAGACATTATGACAAGTCTGTGTACATCCCACCACTCGAGACCCTACTTTCAAGTGACATATAACGGAATAGTTTGGTTTTACAGTGTTTGATTGATGTTTGGGTAATATAGGTGATCAGCTTACCAGCAAGAATCGACCCGCTTCGTACATCAGCAATTGTGAGCCTACATGGTCGGCTTTTGGTTCGGGTGCCTTTCGAGCAGTCAAACATCTAAAGGGGCAGATCATTAGGACATGAAAGTGAGAGCAATGGTAGCAGCAGGCAAATATGTAGCGTTAATTATGATTGATTGATAGAAAAAACGATTTGCAGAGTGTTGTTGAGATTTTCACCAAAGTAACTTCCATTTGTAGGACTAGTCAAACTTTTCACTAGAGTTTTGTTGGCTCCCTTTGTGTTTTCTGCTTCTATATTCCAATGAAGTGTTATGTGTATGCCCACAACCACTTCTTTGCCACAGGTGTTGGATGTTTATGGAAGCAACCCTCCTACTTTTTCATTTTAAAGTAAATGTCAAGTCTGTTTACATCTTATCTGCAGATTAGATTTTAATAACCGAGGCTGGGTTGGGTATGCTATTTCTTCAACAGTTTTGCTTCTGTATATTTACTTTTTTATTACTATTATTTAAAATCAGTAATTTTTAGTTTTTGTTCTATTAACAAATTCTAAATATCTTTTAGAATCAGATTCCGTAATAAAGTTACTTTTATATTAAATCTTAAGATGTCTTTAAACTTGCATGTCTTTTATTTAAAATAAATGGCATCGGATAGTGGACAAATCTTTTATTTCATTGATATTAAAAGAACAATTTGAAAATTCTAATTCATGATTCAAAAGTTCTTTTTGATTATATATATATATATGGGGCTATTCAAGGGAGAATTGAGTTGTTTGTGGTAACTTTGATAACCAATATTAATCACAAATCAATAGATAAATTAGAAATTTATAAATTTGGTAATTTTAAATTAAAATCTTAATGTAAGGATATATTTGGTATTTTAAAACTCTCCTCTCTCCTCTCTTCTCTCTCCGGCCACAATTCTCCGGCCACCGTCCTCCGGTGATACCACTATGATACCTAAAAATATTGACTCTGTTAAACAAAAGATACATTGTGATAC